ACCCTGGCCCTGAAAGTAAAGCTGAGGTCCTTATCCAGATACTTATGTCTCAGAGGAGAAAAGGGATTTTGCTGGATACCCTCCATCGGGATTTCAGAAATATGTTGCACTGTGCCCTTCTAAAGAGATGAGCGGTCTCCTGTTGTTTTCAAAATATGATCTTAAAGTAATACAAAAATAATAGTACACCTTTTAGATCAATAGAAGCAAGTATAACTCAAGGGTAAGCTTAATGAACAGGGGAAAGGAGTGAGGCAGTTTGACAGACACTGATTTCCAAAGAACAGGTGCACACAGTGGCTAAAAATAGTGTGGTGTCATCAGCATTAGAGAAAATGTAGTCAGAAAAAAATGATAGTTCTTTTCCAAAATCAGACCTTGAATAACTTGCAGGAATATGGGAGTAGTTTGAATGTGTAAAAACCAGGTCAGCGGGCATCCCCTAAAAGCTCGTAATAGTAATACGAGCCACCCACACATACTAATTCTTTTTACGGAGCACCTTTTAAACTCTCTTTCTCTTTGTTTTTTGAATCGGAGTCTCTGTGGCCCAGACTGGAGTGTAGTGGTGCACTCATGGCTCATGCAGCCCCCACTTCTTGGGCCAGGTTGCACTGTAGGCAGTCCTGCCTCAGCCTCCCATCTAGTTGGAACACAGGCATGAGCCACCACACTTGGCCAGTCTTTTGATTTCTTTGTAAAGGTGAGGTCTTGCTATGTTACCTAGACTGGTCTTGAACTCCTGGGCTTAAGCGATCCTCTCCCCCTTGGCCTCCCAAAGCGCTGAGATTACAGGTGTGAGCCTCTGCTCCCGGCCTGGATTCACTTTCTTAATTCCAACCTTTTACCAACTCTGCAAGATAAAGAAGGCAGGTATCATAGGACAGACGTCACTGGGTAGATGGAGATGGCAGCTCCGAGGTCCGGATGTGTCCATGGCTCCACTGCTGCCCAGGAGGGCTTGCTGCTGGTCTGTGCCTCGAGTGCTTGTCATGAGCAGGAGAACAAACACATTTGTAAGTCGGCTCTCGGCTCGCTTAAGGGTTGTACGAGTATGGGATGCTGAAAATTCTGGTTACCTGTAAATAGACCTCCTGGTACTGATTTCCCTCGCAAGAGGCAGCGTAAAGAGAGATTTAGTATCACAAACTCCAGAGTCAGACTGTCTGAGACGGGATTCCAGTTCTGCTGCTTCCTGACTTTTCCTTCACTGTTGCGCATCCTGTTTCCACACCTGTGAAGCTCCTCTCTGGAATCAGTGCTTGTCAGTAAGCTGGACGTTTACTGATGTTTACAACCACAAATGGAAGTTGGCCAGGCAGTGGTATACATTCCCATTTACAGATAGAAATTGAGGCTCAGAAATGGTAACTTGTCAGCAGAAACCTAAGTCCAGGCCTTCTCAGATCATCTCCTCATCTTACAAATGTTCTCAGATCACCTCTTTCCATTAGGCTGCACTGCTTCTATGGTAAAGTTGTAATAAGTCAAAATGAGTGTTAACCTATTTTGTTCTGGTTGAACCCAAGGCTCTTGGAAAGTCACGGGTGTGCGGTGTATTTTCCTCCACCAGATTCAGCTCTGGGGTTGTGCTCTGCTCCCCGGAGAGTGTAACTTGCTGGACCTGTGTCTGGGCAGGCCCTGTGACTGATGTCCTCCCTGCCGGCCACACCCATGTTGCTGGTGGCGCCCACTCACTTGCTGTGTTCCTACCGTTCTTTGAAACGTCGTCCTGAGTCCAGTCCTGCCCGCCCTCGGGCCACCTCTTGCTCCTCCCAGCAGCCTTTCCTGCCCTCCCACTGTTGTGGACTCGTGGGACAGGGCAGTGCATGGCAGTGGGCAGCTAGACACTGGCTCTCGGGCCAAAAGCCAGCATTGGGCCGGTGCTTCCAAGAGTCCAGAAGGCCGTCCACGTGAGTCACTGGTATGGTGCGTTGTTCTGTGGCCAGTAGCCAGTGAGCTAGACACGAAGGAGTAAGATAGGACATTTTATTTACAGATGAGGGTGGTATGCTGGGAAGCCCAAGCAGCCCAGTTTTCATATTATTATGAACAGTAAGATATTCAGCTTTGATGGTTAGGTATAAAAAGAAAGAGATACTCCATAAAACTATAGAAGCTATGAAAGACTTCTTGGCTTCACACTGATATAATAAGGGGTTTGAGACCAGCCTGGGCAACTTGGCAAGACCTTGTCTCTACAATAAATCAAAAAATTAGCCGAGTGTGTTGGTGTGCACCTGTAGTCCCAGCTCCTTGGAAGGCTGAGGCGCAAGGATCGCCTGAGCCCAACAGGTTGAGGCTGCAGCGGCTGTGAGTGTGTCACTGCACTCCAGCCTGGGCGGCGGAGTGAGACTCCAACTTAAAAAAAAAAAAAGAAAAAAGATGTTGGTTTTAATTCATTTAGAAAAATAAAATAATGAGACTAGCCAAGAAAATTGTGAAAATTGCGGAAGAAAAGAGGAGAGAGATGACTGAACTATTTACTCTGCCAGCTACTAAAATGTATGAGGAAGAACCCAAGAAAAAACACCAGAGTGATTTTTTGAAGGGCGGACGCCTTGTACAGGCTTCCCCCGATTGGTGAGCGTTCCATTCTAGGAATCCATCGGCATTAGTGTACCAGCTAGTGTTGGTGTGGGAGGCTTCATTTGGGTTCGGTGAATGTTTTTTCCCCAACACATTTGGTCAGTTCATGGTGGGTGGCTTACAAGCCCACCTGCCCACACCATGCTGAATGTTCAGTTTTTTACCCAAAGTGGCACAGCCCCTGTGCCCCACCCTATTCACCCGCTCTTGCCTCTTGAGACTGTTTCCTGGATTTAAAAAGTCCTCAAAAGGAAACATTTTGTTGATGTGGAAGAGGTGAAACAGACAAAAAGGCAGAATCGCTCAAAGGCATTAAGATGTTGGGTTCAAAAACTGTTTTGAGCCGTGGAAAAGCATCTTGATAGGTGTATTGCATCAAATGGAGAATACTTTGAGGGTGACTGAGGTTTAAACATGTAACAGTAAATACACAATTAAAAAAATAAATCCTGAGGCTTTTTGAGTCCCCCTTTTATTATCAGGGTAGAAATTAAAATAACTTGGTATTAGCATAGGAAGCAGTTCCAAACAGAGCTGTCTTAAAGTAGACCTTAATACAGACGAGAATACATATTCAATGAAGTCTGCTTTTGGAATAATTGGAAAAATGTGAGTTACTCTGTGAATGGGACTGGGAAAACAGAGTGACCATCCAGACAAAAAAGTTGTATCTCTTCCTCACTCCTTAGACAAACCATGACAAGGCTACACTAAAACTGTGAACACTTTTGTATTCTTGGAGTGAAAAGATTTGTAAGCATGATACTTGACGGATACATTTGCCTACATTTAATTACGTGTTTACATGCCAGAATATGGCAAAAATACCATAAGTCTAATGACAGACCAGAAAATGTTGGCAACAGTGAGAAAGAGAACTTTCCATAATGTATAAAGAAATGCAAATCTAGCAGAAAAATGAGTAAAGGAAATGCTAGTTTGCAAAACATGAAAAAGTCTTTGACTTTTCTTGTGATGCAAATAAAAGTTAATTTTCAGATTGATGAATATAAAATACACTAAATAGTGAGGATGTGGAGAGGACGGGCATTTATCTGCTTTTAGGAAGAAGTATAGATTGGTAAAACAGGTTTGTAGGCATTTGGCAATGTCTGCCAAAATAAACACTTATATGTGTCTTGATCTAGCCGATTGATTGACAGGTGTCTACCCAGAATGTACATGTAGGAAGAGGATACGCAGGAATATTCATTCACAGGTAAATGACGCCTGGGTATTCATATGAAAGGAATATTGTGAAGCCAAAAAATATTTTGTCAAGGGAATGAGACCAGGCGTAAGACAGTGCAGTGTCCGGTGAGATGAGGAGGGATGAGTAGGAGTGACAGGGCTATTGTTCCCTGAAAGAAATGCAGAAAGCCATCAGGTGTTGCTAGAAAGGGAACTGGGAGACTGTCAGGAATGAGGCTCCCTTTTCCCTTCTCTATTTTTTGTTTTCTTTTGGGGTGATATTTTTAAGCCTTGTGCTTATGTTGTCTATTTAGTGCATTGGTTTGAATAAGAAATTCCTGTTTAACTGCTAACCTTTGAATATGATATTTCTGAATGAGGTTTGTCATCCAGAATATTCTTTTCCTACATAGAGGTATTGCTGTACATTTGGAATTAAAGTCTTTGTAATTCTTTTTTTTTTTTTAGAGTTGGAGTCTCACTCCTTCACCTAGTCTGGAGTGCAGTGGCACGTACGCACACACGCTCACAAGGTCCAGGGTCGACCTTCTGGACTCCAGCAATCCTTCTGCCTCAGCTTTCCAAGTAGCCGGAACTACAGACGCGTGCTACCATGCCCGGCTACTTGTAGAGACAAGGTCTTGCCAGGTTGCCTGGGCTGCTCTCGAATCCGCAGACTCAGGCAATCCACTCGCCTCAGCCTCCCAAAGTGCTGGGATTACAGGCAGAGCCACCGAGCCTGGCCATAATTCTTTTTAAAAAAAAATTTTTTTAAATTTTATTTTAAGAGAGTCTTGCTTTGTTACCCAAGCTGGTCTTGGCTCTTGGACTTAAGTAATCCTCCCTCTGCCTCCCAGACTGCTGGGATTACAAGGTATGAGCCACCACGCTTGGCCTTGTTATTCATTTTTGACATGGGCTTATTTGTATGCCTGATCTCAGTAAGGACTAACCATATACTTCTATGGTGTTGAACTTTTCAGCTTGTTTAGAGATATTTGTTGCTTATGTTATGATGTCATTTTATTCCATTTGCAAGTTGAAGTGATTGTAATTGGTATGAGCCCTTCTTCAGTTGTTTTCCTGAATTGCACTGTGGTGGTGCTCAGGAGAATGCTTTTCAGGGTTAATTTTGTTTTGAAATTTTTTTTAAGAAAAAAAAACCAAACGAAAGTAACCAGATTCAGAGAAACTAACAGCTGTGTTTATTTTGTTCCGGACAGATATGGAGGCCACTCACTGCCACCTTTTATTTTCCTGTGGGCCCAGGAACTGGATTTCTTTATTTGGTCAATTTATATTTCTTATATCAGTATTCTACACGACTCGAAGCAGGTATGTTATCCATATTTGTTTTAAGTGTTGTCTCTCTCTAATTTATGAGTCTCTATGTTTACTTACTTAGAAGAATGTGGAGGGCAGTTAGCATCATGTAAAGAAGTGGCATAATTATAGGACTGCCAGGACTGTGCCGGGCGCTTAGGGTACTCAACTTTTTTTTTTTTAGATTAGACAATATTGTTTATTTAAGAGGTAATTTAGAGAGAGAGAGAGCTCGTGAGAGAGGGAGCGAGCGAGCGAGCGGGCTCACACACAACCACTGCAGCCTCGACTTGCTGGGCTCAGGCGATTTTTCCACCTCAGCCTCCCAAGTCGCTCATGCCCGTCCTAGGTCATTTGACTTTGGTGCTCAAGGCATCCTGAGGAACGGGTAGGAGTGCCACCATTTTATAGACGGGAAGAACCAGCAGCAGAGATTCTAGGCCCTGCCAGTCTCCCTGGTGGTCGAGCTGCCGAGCTGCGTGGGCCTCTCGCTTTTCTTGACCATTTCACTCATTCCGTCGTAGAAATCTTTGTCCTTTAATGCAGAATTGGGCTGGAGTGTATACATCTCCTAGATTGGGGTTGAAAAGCACTGTTTCTTGCAATGAAAGCCTAGACGTATTCTCTGTAATTGAAAAACTCAACTTTAAAATCCAGTATATACCCGGGATTTAATAATGTGATTTATCAGATATGACAACCTGTATAATATTATAGATAAGCTATGAAAATACTTTCTTCAAAGTATCTTACTGAATTGCTGTCCTGAGTTGCTTATACTAAAGAAGCAATAAGTCAATACACTGTCAAAATATGAATATAATCTTGCTAAAATTAAATGGTTGAGCAGTTTGGCTGACTTCAGAGACTTTTATAAGCCTGCTGGGTGTTAACTCAAGATGGAGAATTCTGAACCAGCCTTAGTCTGAACCAGCCTTAGTCTAAGTCAGTGCTCCTGTGTTTGAGAACTGTGAAGCATCTCGTAACTACAGGGAAATCATAGGGTGGACATCTGGTGTCCAGTGTAATTTTTCCTTAAATTTGCATTTGCTGCTAGGTTCTTTTTGAAAAGAAAGACGTTGTTGGAGTAATTTTTTTTTACATCAGTAGTAAACTCTAGATTAAGTGTGAATGATCTATGATCAGTTATTTAAAGTTTTATTTATTTACTTATTTTTGAGTTGGGCTCTCTGTCACCCAGGCTGTTATGCAATGGCACACTCATGGCCACCACAGGTGATCCTTCCACCTCAGCCTTCCAAGTAGCTGGCACTACAGGCACGTGCTACCATGCGTGGCTAATTTTTTGATTTATTGTAGAGATGAGATCTCACCAAGTTGCCCAGGCTGGTCTCGAATCCATGGGTTCAGGCAATCCTCTCACTTTGGCTCCTCAAAGTGCTGGGATTATAGATGTGAGCCCGGCCTATTTAAAGTTTTATTATAGAAAACTCTCAAACACAAAAATAGAAGGGTCAATGAATCTTTTGTTAAAAATTGAGATCACATTCACACAACATAAAATTCACAGCCGGGCTCGGTGGCTCAGCCTACAATCCCGCGCCTTTGGGAGGCTGAGGTGAGTGGATTGCCTGAGCCCACGGGTTCGAGAC